GGTCAAGTCCTGTGACCTCCAAAAAATAAAATAAAATAAAAAACAAAGTCTGGGGTTGGGAAGGTGGCTCAGTGGTAGAGCGCTTGCCTTGCATGCCTGAGGCCCTTGGTTCGATTCCTCAGCACCACATAAGCAAAAAGAAAAAAAGCCGGAAGTGGCACTGTGGCTCAAGTGGTAGAGTGCTAGCCTTGAGCTGAAGAGCTGAGGGCCAGCGCCCAGGCCCAGAGTTCAGGCCCCATGACCGGACCCAAAAAAAAAAAAAAAAACAAAGTCTGTGGAATACAGAATTGCAAAGTACAGGACAGAAGTGGGGTGAGAGGAATGATGGAAGCCATGACTGATCAAGATGCATTATTACACATAATAAGCACATTAAATTGAAACTCCTATTTGAAGCTAATAATAAAAAGAGGGTGGAGCCAGATGCCAGTGGCTTATACTTGTAATCTTTGTTACTCAAGAGGCTGAGATCTGAAGATTGCGGTTCAAAGCCAACCCTGGCAGACAAGTCTGTGAGACTCTTATCTTCAATTAACCACAAAAAGCCAGAAGTGAACTTGTGACTCAAGTGCTAGAAGTGGTAGAGCACTGGCCTTGAGCACAAAAGCTCAGGGAGGGGACTCAGGCCCTAGAGTTCAAGCCACAGTACAAACAAAAGAAAGAAGTGGGGAAAAACCGCAAAGTAGCAGCACCTGCAAAGCAAGGTGACAGATGTCTAGGTGTCCCAAGTGGTTGCCAGAGACTGCTCCGCTACTTCTAGGTCCCCCAAATTTTCAGACAACTCCATATAGTCCCATACAGAGCTTTATTTCATTGGTGCTCTACCACTTAGGTGAACAGAGGTCTACTTTTTAAATGAACTGATTTTATACATCTTTCTTGGGAGGTTAGACTAGGTTAGAGGTGGTAGCAGACACTTGCAACCCTAGCTGATGTAGAAGGATCACGAGTTCAAGACCAGCCGGGCGCCGGTGGCTCATGCTTGTAATCCTAGCAACTCAGGAGGCTGAGATCTGAGGATCGCAGTTCAAAGTCAGCCCAGACAGAAAAGTCTGTGAAATTCTTATCTCCAATAAACCACCAGAAAACCGGAAGTGGCGCTGTAGCTCAAATGGTAGAGTGCTAGCCTTGAGCTGAAGAGCTGAGGGACAGCGCTCAGGCCCAGAGTTCAAACTTCATGACCAAAAAAAAAAAAAAAAATTTCAAGACCAGACTGGGTTAACAGTGAGACCCTACCTCAGAAAAAGAGGGTCAAGGGAGATATAAATATTAGACTAGAAGATGGATGCACCAATAATGGCAGAAGTGCTATAGTGTAACAGGTTATTCCAGGCTCTCATGCAAGACAAACACTGGTTAAACATCAGTAAACACACTATCATGACCTCTATGGACATCTTTGTTGAAACATTCTTCCTACTAAGTATAACAGGTTGATTAACTTCTTGAAAATTTGAATATGTGGGAGTAATTGATCCAGATTACCAAATGAAATAAATAGCTTACTGACATGATTGGGCAAAAAAGGATACCTCCCCCACAAATCTGAATATGTGGTACCTTTTAATGTTAGTACTCTCTATTCTAAAAGTATGCCCTGGATAGGCACTGGTGGTTCACACCTATAATCCTAGTTGCTCAGGAAGCTGAGATCTGAGGATTGCAGTTCAAAGCCAGTCAGGGCAATAAAGTCCATGAGACTCTTATCTCCAATTAACCACCAGAAAACCAGAAATGGAGCTGTGGCTCAAAGAATTAACTTTGAGCAAAAGAGCTTAGGGACAGTGCCCAGGCCCAGAGTTTAAGCCCCATGAGCAACAAATACAAAACAAAAAACTAGGGGCTGGGAAGGTGGCTCAGTGGTAGAGCGCTTGCCTTGCATGCATGAGGCCCTGGGTTCGATTCCTCAGCACCACAATAAGCAAAAAGAAAAAAGCCGGAAGTGGCACTGTGGCTCAAGTGGTAGAGTGCTAGCTTGAGCTGAAGAGCTGAGGGACAGCACCCAGACCCAGAGTTCAGGGCCCACGACCGGACCTCCCCCCGCCAAAAAAAAACAACACTGTGCCCTGATTCCTTTAATTGAACCTGAATATTCCATAATATCCTCAGTCACTCATTTTTATGATTTTCAGCTTTCTAGATAGTTGATCTCATTCATCATGCTTTGAATCTTAGTAATTTCCTTCTCTCTCTAAGAATCTTGACTCTGTTTGGCCAACTTATGCCCGGGACTTCATCAATTTAAGTGAACAGCAGTGGGGAAAACCACAAAGTAAATCTAATTACAGTGGAACATAGAAAACCACTTAGTAATATAAAACTTTAAATAGATACTTCCTTTAAAACTACAAACTCTGGGGCTGGTGGAGTGGTTCAAGTGACAGAGTACCTGCCTAGCAAGCACAAGGTCCTGAGTTCAAACCCCAGTAAAATACACACACACATACACACACACACACACACACACACACACACACACACACACACACACACACACACAATGCTAGGGACAAAAGAGAGCTAAACCAGGGCTGGGAAGGTGGCTCAGTGGTAGAGCGCTTGCCTTGCAAGCCTGAGGCCTTGGGTTCAATTCCTCAGCACCACATAAGCAAAAAGAAAAAAGCCGGAAGTGGCACTGTGGCTCAAGTGGTAGAGCACTAGCCTTGAGCTGAAGAGCTGAGGAGCTGAGGGACAGTGCCCAGGCCCAGAGTTCAGGCCCCACAACTGGACCCCCCCCCAAAAAAAGAGAGAGAGCTAAACCTAGCCCACCAGGGATGAATTGAAAATAAAGCATGGTGAAGCATTCTGATGAGAGGACAGGAGGCATCTTGCTGGTACTCACCATACCCACTTATCTTGCAGCTCCCAGTGAAGGGGAAAACTAGTCTCAATGATTTCTCATTTGCATTAGCCCCTCTTAGTAGCACAGCTACCTTCATAGTCTAAACAGCAAACACTAAGTCTTAATAGGTAAATTTCTCTGCTTGAGATCTCTCTTACATCCTGAACACAGCCATCTGGTTTACTTAAAATACTAATTTCATTAGATCACCCCAGCCCATCCCTCTACACCCCCCTCTCTTTCCATACACTCACACACATATTTGAGACAGGCTCTTGCTATTTATCCAGATGTCCTTGAGCTTGAGATCTTGCTGTCTCAGTTTTCCAAGTGCTGGAATTACAGGTGTGTACCACTATGCCCAGTCACTTCAACTCTAAACATTTTTTTTCTTTTGTACCTAGGTTGGGCTTGAACTTGAGATCCTGCTGTCTGCCTCAGCCACCTGAGTGCTAGGACTACAGGTGTGCACCACCATGCCCAGTCACCCCAGTTAAAAACTTTTAATGAATTTTAATATTCAATTATTTAACTGGGAAAAAGATCCCAACTAAAATTTAAGTCCCAGGCTAGCATTATCTACTATTATGATACAGGACTTGATACCTGTCCTCCTTGAGTTCCCAAAAGAAATTCTCTAAAGCTTCAACTAAATCAATCTGTTACTCTCCTCCCAACACACACTACCTGCACATCAGGGCTGGACTACACTCATACTTGCCCAAACACTACCACTTCCGGCATTCTTTCAATAATCTCTCTCTGCCTACCAAGCGCTTCTGCAATGCCATCCGGTCAATTTTCTGATCCTGGTAAAACTCATTCTCCCCCTTTTTTTTTTGTCGGTCATGGGGTTTGAACTCTGGGCCTGAGCACTGGCCCTCAGCTCTACCACTTGAGCCACAGCGCCACTTCCGGCTTTTTCTGCTTATGTGGTGCTGAGGAATCGATCCCAGGGCCTTATGCATGCAAGGCAAACAACTATTGAGCCACCTTCCCAGCCCTGGTCAAACTCATTCTTTTTTTCTTTTGCTGGTCCTGGGGCTCGAACTCAGGGTCTGCACCCTGTCCCTGAACTCCTTTTGCTCAAGGCTAGCACTCTATCACTGGAGCCACAGCGCCACTTCCAGCTTTTTCTCTGATTAATTGAAGATGAGAGTCTCATGGACTTTCCTGCTCGGGCTGGCTTCCATCAGTCTTCTCAGCCTCCCGAGTAGCTAGGATTATAGCCGTGACAACGGGCGCCTGGCTGAAACTCATTGTTTCCAATCGGCTCCGAGCAAGTCCGAAGTCCCTTGGAAGATTGATCACAGAGATAACACAACCTATCACAGCGCACTGAAATTTAATAGGTGCTAAATATTTATCAATTTAAACCAGAAGAGGTTCAAATAATTTACCTAAGCAAGGCTAGATCATGCTTTCGCCCCAGGACTGCAAACTTCTGGTGTCGACACAGAGCAGAGATGTAGTGGAGAAAGCATGCAAAAGCAAGCAAGCAAACAAAACAAACCCCCCAAACCTATGTCCTAAACCTGCTTTTGCCGGAGGGGGAGCCACACAATCTCTCTGGGCCTCGGGTGGTTTGGGGGCGAAGCAAGGGGAGGATCTCCTGGGTACCCTCCGACTTCCAAATGTCCCGCGACGGGAAACCTAACACCGTCCTCGCTACCGCGGCGGCAGCAAACTTTCACAATTCCCAACGCGAGCATTTCCCGGGTCCTGGGAAGTCAGGTCCTGCGGGGCGCGGGAGGGGGAGCCCGTCTCCCCCGACCCTCGGGATGCCTTGACCCATCGGGGGGTCCGGAGCCCGCTTCCGCCTCCAGGGCCCCTTCCTGGGCCAGGCTGAGCGCTCCCATCCCGCGCCCCTG